CCTGCATAGTAGAATTACAGGTCTCTATCTCGAGTCCTGTTGTTTGTTTGTGGCTTGGGTTTTGGTGGTGCTGTAGATTAAACCCAGGATTGTATGCATACCAGGCAAGCACTCTAGCAACTGAGCTACATCCCTAATAAGAAATAAGAAATAAGATGGCTTATTTCTTCAGAAGTAGTTTTCCAGGTTTGTTTACATGGGAATATGCTACAGAAGTTTTGTTCTTTTAAAGGATGAATAGTTGTACAATTGTGTGTATATGACTCTATATATATGTGTGTGTGTGAGAACTATATTTGTGTGTATATATGTACACACTACACTTTGTGAATCTGTAGTTTTCTGTGGACACCTGGGTAGACCCATGACTGTCCTAAATAGTACTACTGTTAACACAGCTTTACAAATATCTATTCATGCCCTTTCCTTTAATTCTTTTTGGCAAATATCCCAAAGTGGAATTGCCAAATTATATGACAATTCTATAACTCCTTTTTGAGAAGTAATCATAATATTAACATATAGCTTTGATTACCACAAACCTTAAGTTTTTAATCTATAAGCACAGTATTTTATGACTTTGATTGCCTTTAAAAACTTTATTTTCATGTTCTTTTCTTTTTTGAAGTATTTCATGTTTCAGGTTAATTTTCTATAGAATTGAATATTACTTGAAATACAAAAGTTTATATTATTGTGATTGTAGTACTTACCTCAGTAGAAGATGGAGAGGTCAATAATGTGTCATGTTCTATTCCAGACTCCCTGGGTTCCAGTGTTGCAGTGTTTGCTCCTCTTTGCTCCTGTGCTGATAGCATTTCTTCCCATCTCACTGATGAGCACTTTCTTCTTCTGGTGCTGTCTTAGACACCAGTTAGCTGGCTAGAATGAATGTGATGTTGGACACATATGCCCAGTGTCTTCTGAAAACTGCAATATTTGTAGATAGACCATACAGTTTTTCTTCCCCTAACTTACAAGTGTGCACTTACAGTATTGTCAGTACATGAGCATGTAACTAACTTATTTAAAGCAGGATAGTATGCAAGGGTAAAATAAAGTGGCTTCAGGAATTCCTTGGTAGGAAAGTCACAGAAAATCTTCATTTGGGTTGGGAATTGTTAGCTTCTACTTAATGGCCACCCAGGCTTTGAGTCTAAGGAATGATTTGCCTGACAGCAAATACTACTTGTGTATGTGTATATCTTGAGTGACAATATTCTGCAACTGCAGAATAGGAATACTTGGGTCTGGAGAAGTGGCTAGGCATTTAAGAGAACATACTGCCTGGTAAGGGGGCTCAGTGGTTAAGAGGATCAAAGTTTAAGTCCCAGCATTCACTTGGGCAGCACACACCTGCTTGTAACTTGAGTTCCAGGAATCAACACCCTTTCTGTCTCCAGGGGAACCCCCCCCCACATGACATACATACACACACATGACACAGACACACACACATCACACACACACATACCACCACACCACACAAAATTGGAAAGAGAGAACACATAGTGTTCTTACAGAAAAACAGTTCAATTGCCTTTGGCCTCTATGAACACTAACGGCATGTGCTCATGCAAGCACAGTTTTTTTTTTTTTTTTTTCTTTTAAGAATAGAAATGCTCATCTTTGATCTTTGATACTGGCTTTCCTAAAAGTCTTTTCTAACAGCCATAGACTAACAGTGAGTACTTCAGGTAGAATGAATTGAGCACAAAGGTAGGAGGACTGTGATTTTACTGCGACACCTGTATTGTTTGACTTATTACAAGACCCTGGTGCTAAAAACCTGTGTTATGATATTAAAATTAAGAAACAAACTGGTAGGGTCATAAACAGCAGTGTGGCATGCTTCCTGTGACTTGTGTAATAATATTTACCTTTTATTAAGTATCTCAGGCACTGGGCTAGGAACTTGGCAGGCATTGCCTCCAGTCTTCATAAACTCTATTTATGAACACCAAGTATAATTTTCTTCAGTTCTTTAGGCCAAAGAAACTTTTAACATGATGAGTGTTGTGAGGTTGGTGATGAGTGGTCTTGAGTTTGAAATGAGGCTCCTGGGCTCCTCCCAAGTCTGTATTTCTCTCCGTTGAGCTGCACTGACTTGGTGTTGTATGGCAGGAGGGTAGCCTAGGCAGCTGCCTTCTGGAACAAATTAAATGGCCAGCTAAGTCAATTATGGATTTTTAGTTACAAAGGAAGGAGAAAACTGACATTTGAGCATGGGTGTTAATATTACCTGTATTTATTAAAAAGAAAGATTCAGGCTGACAAGGTAGCACACAATAAATAAATAAATAAATAAATAAATAAATAAATAAATAAAGTTGAACAGGGTGCCGTTTTCATGAAGTGTGTTTATATTTTCTCTTAGTATGTAACATTCTGGTTTTGGGGGTTTTTTTGGCAAAAATTTCTTCAAACTAATTTAATAAACTCCTCATGTTTTGCTCGGTTTCTGGAGAATTCCAACCTGTAAGACTAACAACTTAAAACAGTAATGGGTTAAAATGATTGTTTAAATCGTTTCTCAAATGCATTGGATCCTAGAACCCTCATGTAGCCCTCTCCTTCCTTCTCGGCTCCCTGCTCACATCCCAGTCCTCTGCAGCATATTTTAGGGGAACACTTAACTAAAACCACATCTTCATATTCATTTTAATTCTCACTTTAGAACACTTGGCTCTTGAAAACATTGGACAACTTAGCAGAAAACCTATAGCCAGTGCTTTTTTTCTCGTTCCAAAGACCTGCTATGTAGCCCTTGGTGGGAAAGGCTTGTGTTTCCATGCTAAACAGACCTGAGTTTGCCTCAGCAGCCCAGCTATTAGATAAGGGACAATGGAGAGGCAAAGGTTTGTCCTTAAGTCTTCACTATTTGTCTGTAAAATGAGATAGTATGATGTTACAGGAGGGACTTTTAGAAGTGGGTAAGCAATGCTGAGCAGCTAGTTGTGGCGTGCATTTCATAGACACTGAGAGGGTATTGGCCTTTGCAGGCCCTCCAGATCTTACAGACTGCCTGAAACAGTGTCACTCTTTCACTAATTCTGGTGCTGGCATTCAAGTTCACAGTCTATTCTCTGACCCCCTTTTTAATTTTTAAAAACTTAAGTGTAATTACATCATCCTCCCCCTTTTCTCCCCAGTCCTTCCTATGTACCACCTCACTCCCTCTTAAATCATGGCCTCTTTTTCAGATATATACATGTAAATAAAGAAATACAACCTGCTACATCTATTTAATGTTAATGATTTCTGGGCTGACTACTTGGTATTGAGCAATTAATTAGGGGGTTCATCCCTGGGAAAGTCTAATTCTCCCACTCTCAGATTCCATTAGTTCTCTGTAGTTCTTTGTCTAGAGATGGGGTCCCATGAGAGTTCTTCTTCTGTGTTAGCGTGTCAACTGGTATCCTTGTTTGGGTCTTGTTTAGGTAGCTGTGTTAGTGAGATTTCATGTGTGTATCTTCCTTGTCATTTCTAGGAGGCACAGTCTCATAGCAGACTTTCTGGTTCTCTTGCTCTTAGAATCTTCCCACCCCCTCTTCTGAGATGCTCTCTGAATCTTAGGGTAGAGGTTATGCAATAGATACATTAGTTGGGGTTGGGCACCCTATGGTCAGATGTTCTCTGCATTTTGGCCAGTTGTATTCTGTAATAATTTCCATTTGCTATAAAGAGACCTTCTTTGATCAGGAGTGAGAGTTGCACCTACCTGAGGGGTATAAGGATAAGTTAAACAGATACTGGTTACTGCCAGGATATGAGTGCCACTATTACACTTGAGGGCTGTCTTACCATGGTAATTGTTGTTGTGATTCATAGGCATCAATGCTTTCCCCTTTTGACAGCTCACATAGTACTTCTGGTAGACCTCAGGAAGTAAGCTTTCCGGTGAGACCCAGCTCAAATCTTCCAAGTCCTGTGTCTGAAGTGTGTAGTGTCTTCAGCAATTCAGATTTACCTTCAACCTCTGGGAAGCAACTATGTACAACAGCAGTAGCCTATATTATTTGGGGGGGAAGGGTTCTTGGACTCTTTGGAATTGGTATACAGGAATTTAGAAGGATTTCACGTGTTCTGTGTGGGTTCTGGTGGTTTGTTTCATAGAATTTAGATGGAATCCAAATCCTTTTTTTTTTCTTTTTTCTTTTTACAGTACTCTGTATTTTATGGTACCAAAAAGAAAGCAAACCTTTGTTGGTGTAAAAATGTTAAAGACCATTTTGAAAACAACCTAGATATATGACATAAGATAGTGATATCACTTTAAAAAAGAGACTAAACTAAGAGATGACTTAGATTCTCCCCCAGGAAATGTATCAAAAAAAAAAAATGCTTCAGAAAATGTAAGACAGAAAATTTAACTTCTTGCAGTGACATCACAGTGTATATTTTTAGACTTGATTAAAACTTTATGTACTTGCCAGGTGTGGTGGCATATACCTTTAATCCCAGCACCTCTAAGGCAGAGGCACATGGATCTCTGTTAGTTCACGGCCAGCCTGGTGAGTTCAGGGACAGCCAGAGCTGTTATACAGAGAAACCCTATCTCAAAAAATCAAAAACCAAACCAAACCAAAAGACTTATATGTAGTTAATCAGAACTTTGGGAGAAATAAAAGTTGTGAAGGTGACATGAATTTTTGTCATTTAATAATACTGGAAGCCCTAGAGACAGCTGGTGGTAGAGCACTTGCTAAGGGAGTATCCATGTTCACTTATAGTAAGAAAAGTTTTAAATGTTTCTAATATCATACATTCATTCATTCTTTCATTCGGTACCTCAGGCTGGTGACCCTCCAGCCTTCCCCACAAGTGTTGGAGTTACAGATCTCATGTACAATGTTCATAATGCATATCAAAACAGTCATGCACTTTAGCACTGTGACTATCCACCAGTGGTTATAGTAACTGTCAGTTGATAACATTCTGTTGTGTCATCTGCATATGTCTGAGAGATGCTATGTGGCTTTCATGCTTTGTTTTCTCAGGTGATTAATGACCACATGACAGCTAGTGAGAAGTGTCGTCTGCTCCAGTGGGAGGAGTTCCTGAAAGAACAGCCACAGCGCCGAGCTGAGGTGGATGATGAGCACAGAAGAGCCATGGAAAGGCTCAAAGAACAATACGCTGCAATGGAGAAGGACCTAGCAAAGTTTGCCACCTTTTAAGAGTTTGATCTGCAGGGACAGATGAACGAGAAAGCACTGACTTTCCTCCAGATCTTCCACCAACCACGTAGCCTCCTCTTCAAGCTTAGAAATATACTCAGTGGCACTCTTAGGTGTGAAGGGAGAAACTTCTGGAGCCCGATAAATGTCCATGGAAGAAGAGTGCTTACGTGTCTAAATGTGATCCTTTGAGGAAGAGTGAAAAATGGGGCAGATTTATTTCTAACCAGATTCAGTCTTTTTGGTGGTTAGTTTAGATGGCTGTGTGTGGATTCCAAGAGTCCACTTCATTTCCACCAAGGGTATGGCAGGGGTGACAGCTTCTGCCATGACCGAGATGCCAGGTGGGCTTTGGACAAACTTGCTTGGAGACACCAGAGTTTGCAGTACAGGACAATACTGTGTGTTTTACTGGGTGACAAGACATACCCGATTGGTGGCCTCATAGAACTTAGTATTTCCATCTTCTAAACAGCTCAGGAGAAAAAGCCCACCAAAGTGCACTCTCCAAGGATCATCATCTTACCCATAGTTCTTCCCTTGCTTTTGTGTCCATTTTGCTTTGGGCAAGCTCTTTAAGGGATAGTGTCTGTGCATGTTTCAGCTGCTCAGTGGGTAGTCAGCAGAATCTGCCAAAGAGTCCCTTTGGAACCATGTAAGATTGGCTCTGGGCAGACTAGAAATGTCCGCCCACACAGCAGATGATCTGTGTTAGAGGTAAATCCCCTCCATATTGACGCCTGCTCTCCAGCAGTTGTTTCCGGATGGAACACCACTGTCCATCACCACTGTGATCTTTACATACTTGCACTTACTCTAATCGAAGAACCACAATTTGCTATTAATTAAACAGACGTGCATGCGGTCATTTGAGGAGATGCATAGCCCGTGGGTTTGAGGTGTGGGTGAGTCTTTCTAGTATTTTCTGTTGCTCTTCAGTCAAGCAAGGCAAGAAAGAAAATACCTAACTCTCTAGTGATATCTCAGTACTCTAACCGCAGAACACTGACAATGCTTGCCTGTGTAAACGTATGGCCAACTGTGAAAGCTTCATTCTTGGCTCATGTTGAAATGTGATTAAAGCTAATAGATGAGATGAAATGAGTATTTGAGACTTCTTTCAGTAACACTGAACTTCTGCCAACTTTCTCTGTCTGCTACTGTGGGCCTGACAGGTTCATCAATCATCCTCTGGTCCCTGGACTGAAAGAGCACTTGCTGACACAGAAGCATGCTAGAATTTTCTTAATTCTCCTTCAGTGGATGGAAAAAAAAAAAACTTCCAAAAATATCTCACACGTGAAAAGGGAAGGGAGGGAGCTACAAGTAAAAATCCCCTTTGTATCATAGACACTTTTTGGGATGTCATTAGTAACCACCACACCATTAATAGCTGCTGTCACCAAATCAGAATTCTGTGTGCCAGTGGGCATGTGTACCTTGGTCACTGAAAAAGTAACACAGCAAAGATTTCTGGTGCTTTGTGTGCATCACAGACAAATAATAAAATCTTTCCCTCCTAAATTTGTATTTATCTTTCAAAGGAGTGTAAACCAGGACAGTTTGAAGCTTTACATGTTAATGCACTCAGTTTTCTGTAGCACTGTTAAATCTGATAGGGTCAGACTGTTGGCTTTCCTGCTGTTGTGTTCAGAGGACATGTCTCCTTAGCCTCCATTCCAAATCTTCTTTGTTACATATTTTTATTTAAAAATTCATTTGTGCTATGTTGAGCAGAGATACTGTGGGTTATGTGTGGCTCATAGGATTTTAATATTTTATAATTTTAAACCATTAAGAAATGATGAATTGAGTTTTCCTTGATGTGTGACTTTCATTTCCTAACATATATGGAGTTTAAATTCTGTTTTTATTATCGATAACACCTATAGTTGAGAATAGGTACACATACAATTGAGTTGTTCAGATTTGTTAGGGTCTGCTTTGTAGTGTACATATGGTCAGTAGGTCTGTTTCACAGTGCTTGGGAAATGTGCACTTCTGGCTGGGTGTCCATTAGGCCAGGCCTGTTGTGTACAGGATTTCTTTCCCTTTCCTTCTGCATGATCTTTCAGCTTCTGCAATATGTTAGAATTTCCTTTCCTACTGGGTTTACTATTTTATCTATGAAACTTAATTTTTGTTTTATGTGTTTTGTTGCTAAGTGCATTCAGCCCCAACTAGATGTGTTCAAAATCTAACTGGAGTTTTGTTTTTCCTGGTTATTTTAGCTAGAAAGTATAATCCACTTATACTAATATATTGGAATTTACTTATGTCATTTTAAACGTCTAGTATTTATTTATTGGGGGAGGACAAAGCACCACATATGTGTGGAGATCGGAGGATAATTTGTGGGAGTCGGTTCTCTCTTCTGCCATATGGGTTCTGGGGACTAAACTCGGTCTTGTATTTCATTTTGTCCCCCCACTTTCCTACTTTCTCATAGCCCTTGTTTTCTTACATTCCTTTAAGAGAATGTTTTTCGTGAACTTCTCTTGTACTAGTCTCAAAGTTGAACACTCAATTTTTAATCTTTCATGTTCCCCGGAAAATCTTAACACGAGTTAGTAGACAAAACCTAAATTTCCTGTTCTTCCTCCATTAAACATGAGAGCTTTCAAACAATGTCTTGATTTCCTCTTCAACTTACAAATATAGACGTTTAGTTCTGCCTTGTTTTGTGCACTGTTTGCCCAACTTACCCACAGTTTGTGTTTTATTTCCATGGAAAGCTGTTGGGGTGCAGTTTCAGGGTGACGGTTATTTCCTTTCTCCCTGTCTTCCCTTGTTGCTTCTGAAATGACACCTGTCCTCTGAAATGACACCTGTCTATGTGACCAGCACACCTTTGTCCTCCTTGTGTCACTTTTGTGACAGTTAGACATTCTGCTTTGCCAGCGCCACTGACTTCTCCCTAGTAACAGTGCAAACCCTGGACTACACCCCCTTTACCCTTGTGTATAACTCAGGTTGTAAGTTCTGACCTGTCCTATGAAGGAACAAGGTCTGACACCTCGCATTGCCTGATTGATTGGTGCCTGGGATGCCAGGCAGAGAGGGGAGATTTGACCCGCTAATACCCACTGTATCCTGCAGCTGCCCTTTCACAGCCCTGACATGGGAATCTGATCATTTTGTAGCAAAAGGAGAGAAAAGACATTGGTGGTGCACGCCTTTAATCCTAGCACTCGGGAGGCAGAGGCAGGAGGGTCTCTGTGAGTTCGAGGCCAGCCTGGTCTAAAGAGCCAGTTCCAGGACAGGCTCCAAAGCAATGCAGAGAAACCCTGTCTCAAAAAAAAAAAAAAAAAAAGGAGGGGGAGAGAGAGAAACCAGAGGGTGTGTGTGTATGGTTTTTTTCTAACCCTGAAAGCACAGTGGGAAAGGTCACATGAGGGTATGACAAGAAGCAAAGCTGGCTGTCTGAAAGCCAGGGAGGGACCTCATGACAAGCGTTTGAACAAGTCATTCTTGGACATCATGGCTGCTAGGCCTGCGAATAGTTTCCTTTGGTTGAGCCACCAACCCTATGACAACCAGAGTAGACTGATACCATCCTTGCCTTTTATTCCTGTCACTCATGTAGAGACAGCTGTTTGAAACCCTTCTTGCCAGATGGGAAGGGGACAGCTCTAAGGCAGCTGCAGTACCAGAGCTAAGTTATGCTGTAGAACTGTGTTGTCTCCTAAGTCACCTTCAGTTGTTTTCATTAACTTCCCATGAACTCAGCTAGGAATAAAGAATACAGCTTAAATCGTTTTTGTAGCATTTGGGGGGAAATATTCCATAGCCAGAGAGATCTCTATGTGTGGAAATGGCTAAGGAAGTATGGCAATTTTGCCACAGTAAAATTTCCAACAAAAAGAATATGTTTGTTTCTTTTGATAGTTGTGCCAAATATTTTCTATTATTTTGCTTCTTATTCATGAACAGATTTGATTGTATCTATTTCTATGGTATTTTTTTTTTACTATTCATAAGTTAATGAAAGTCAAAGTGAGTACAATAGTCTTATTCTAAGTCTCCATAATGGGTTGGTGAAATGGCTAAGCAGCAGGACGTCAAGGCTGTTGACCTGAGTTCATCCCCAGGAACCAGATGCTAGAGGGAGAGAAGCATCTCCTACAAATTGTCCTCTGACCTACACACACACACACACACACACACACACACACACACACACACACAGTGACAGTCACAACATATATATACATATATATATATATATACATACATATATACAAAATAAGTAATATGATTTTAAAGCAGATTTTAAAACCTGCGTAACATACCTGAATACCTAATCTTAGATGTCTTTGATTTGTAGGACTTTATTGTGGTTAGTGAAAATGCCCCAGGCTACCACCATAGACATGGATGTAGAGAGGGGGTCAGTCTATATCTTAAGTTTACCAGAAAAAAATACCTTCAACATTAATCCATCCAAAATGAATGAACCTTTTGTTCATTTTGCTTCTTTGTTTGATGGGGGGTTGTTTTGTTTTGTTTTTTAGACAAGGTCTTCTGTAGCCCAGGCTAGCCTAGAACTCATGGTGCAGCCAAGTGTAGCCTTGAACTTAGGATCCTTTTGGCTTCACCGCCCAGATGCCAAGGTTACAGGTATATACTCCCATACTCCATTTATGTGGTGCTGAGGAGCTCGAGGCTTTAGTCATGCTAGGCAAGCATTGTACTAACTCCAGCCTCAGTCCCTGAAACTATCATTCCCAACATGTATTTTCTTGTAGTTTAGTCTTAATCCTTTGTTTCAGGTGCATTTTGTTGCTGTGGTGCAACACTTACAACCGAGGGGTAAGGGTTTGGTTCAGCTCACAATTCCAGGGGACAGCCCATCGCTTTGAGGAGGTCAAAGCAGAGACTCAGGGAGCTGGTCACACCGTGCCTGCAAGAGCAGAGAGAAGAGTGCAGCCACACCTCCTACTTGATTTCTTCACTCATGTAATTCAGGGCCTAGCTACAAAAACCCACAGACACACTCAGGTAAGCCTTCTCTAGACTGTTCCTCAGAAAACCTCTTGGATGATTCTGGTTGTGGCAAGATAACATTTAAAGCTAAGCACACCTTACAAAGATTTTATAGCTGTCTCGTGAATGTTGACAGGTGATTGACTTGATGTAGCTCAAGGTCTGGTAGTGAAGGGGATGAGTTGCAACACGTTCTGCCTGTCCTTCCTCATTCTAGGACTCACTACTAAGAATAGTGCATCTCCAGGACTGCTCTGGTAACAGTAAAGCAAAATGCAGATGCTTGCACATGTGTTCTATAAACAGGAGGAACATGCTTAGATTTCCAAGTGTGTCACTTTTCATGGGGCAATAAATCCATAGGTGCACTGTATATTAACATTCTGTCCTCAGCAAAACTCACCATTCAGGTAGTCAGTGAAATAGTAAAAAACCAGCTCACAGTATAAAGGAATATTTCCTCTTCGGAGTTACTTGGTCCCAAATACCCAGCAGCTGCTTCCCAATTTACCACTCAGAGGCTTATGTTACTTATAAATGTTCAACCTATAGCTCAGGCTTGTTACTAGCTAACACTTACACTTCGAGTTAACACCATATCCCTTGTTTACACTCTGACACATGGTGGTACCTTTATTAGCATGGCATGTTCATCTCCTGCTCCCTCTGCATCTGTGGCGACTCCTCTGACTCTGCCCTTCATCCTCTCATTCTCAGTTTGGCTTTCCCACCTATCTTCATCCTGTTCAGCTATTGGCCAGTCAGCTTGTTTATTAAGCCAATCACAGTGGCATATATTCAAACATTGTAAAGGTATATTCCACAGCAGTAAGGAGACAGAATAATTGATTTGTAAAACAGCTTAATCTCATTTCATCCTCATAACCAGGAAGTACTCATTTGACATTTTAAAGAAAAGCAAACAAAGCAAAACAACAACAACAACAAAAAAGCACCGCTTCTGAGCTAAAAACAAACACAATGTCAGGTAAACTTTAAAGTTCTGTAAGTTATATTGTAAAAATCTATTTTACAGGTAGATGCCATTTTTTTTCTTCATAATTACATAGCTTTTGTGCAATATGTGTGAGGTTTGGTTTTTGTAGAACATTCTA